TTTTCTGGCTCCAAAGTCAGTGCTGCTTTGACCACCCTGTGCTCTCTCTTTTTCAAAAAGTCAATGCTCTCCAGATTTCCTCTCTGGAACACTTCCGATATTGGTGAATATGTGGACAGTTGAGGTCTTTTACACCAGAAAGAAGAGGCGGAGAGGAGCTGGCTTGGAGTTGGGGACAAACCGTCACCGTGGTCGGGGGGCAAGCGCTGGTCGTTTTCTGTCTCCTTGTAGCTTTAATTGCGATGCTTCCCCGCTTTATTAGTTTCCAGATTCTGTGCCAAGTGCTTTAAAAGAAAGGTAGGGGAGAATTCTCCTCTGCTGCCTGGCAGCTTGCCATTACCCCCGGAATCTGTTGCTTGCTGTTTCAGAAAGGGATCAACATTGAAGGCATTTTTCTCAGTAGTGAAATTTACATATCACAGCCTTGCTGACTGAAGCAGAAATGAGGGCTCCAGGGGCTGGAGTCTGGGGGTGGGGACAGAGCCTTTGTAGGGGGAGGGAAGAGCTTATTTTATTACCCGGGAATAAAAACATTGTGAGTAATGAATAAAGTCCGAAAGCAGTAAATCTGGAACTCGGGCGTTAGGTGTGTAACGTGTCGGAGAACAATTTAAGCCTTCGCCTCTTCGGCAGAGGTGAGGTATTCGGGCCGCCTTTCACAGCCCGAATTTCATTAAATGGCCTTTTAAGAGTTAGGATTACAAGAAGCCAAGTCCGGCTGGTTCATAATGATGATTTATGGCTGTGTTGTCGACTCCCCGACCCTTCTGTACAAGGGGATAGAGAAAATACATAATTTGTTGCTCATTAACTGTAAGATCTGTCAGGGCTGCCCCAGAAGCCATGTGGTCCTGGAGTCATGTGTCTGCTAAATGGCTTCAGCCTGGCCCTGTCCTTGAAAATACGCAGTTGCTGTTGGGCCGTGGAGATCGTTTTTAGTAACAATAGAAATACGGCTGATCCCCAACTTAAGAGGGTTTGACTTACGATTTTTCGACTTTACGGGGGTGCACAAGCAATACCCATTCAGTAGAAACCACACTTTGATTTTGAATTTTGATTTTTTTTTTTTTCCTGGGCTAGTGATCCACGGTGCTGGGCACCAGCAGTGAGCCACGGCTCCCAGTCGGCCTTGCCAGCACGAGGGTAAACAGCCTGTACTCTTCACATCATTCTGTGCCCGTGCAACCGTTCTGGTTTTCACTGTCAGTGCAATATTTAATAAATTACGTGAGCCGTTCTACACTTTATTGTAAAATAGACTCTTTGGTAGTGATTGTGCCCAAATGTAAGCCAACGAAAGTGTTCTGAGCACATTTAAGGTAGGCCAGGCGAAGCTATGATGTTCAGTAGGTTAGGCGTGTTCAATGCATTTCTGACTTACGATATTTTCCACTTCGGATGCGTTTATCGGGACGTAATGCCATCATAGGTTGAGGAAGATCTGTAATAAAAAATTCTCTCAATACAGTGTGTTGTGAGTCTTTGAACTTAAATATCTGGGCTCTCCTTTTAGCTCTGTCACTTAGAAGCTTCAGAACCTTCAGGTTAGTGACTCTCCCTCAGTGCTTTACCATTCCCAGCTGTAGAATGGGTATAACTTCACAGAGCCGCAGATCAAATGAAACCAAAAAGTACGAAAGAAATGTAAAAGATTGCTGCCGTTATTAGCATCGTTTTGAGGAATCTGAGGTGCCACGAAATGCCTTCTTTACCTCTTTCTCCTCCAGTGAGAGGAGGAAGCATTTTAACTGTGTGAGACACTGTGGCACCGAACCCAAAGTTTTCAAATGAAGGGATGTTAGCACTGAAATGAGTCCTTGAGTTGTAACCAAACCCTTTCTCCCTAAAGTGACTCAAGCACAGCAGTGAATCCCCTGAGATTAATCCGTGGATTTGTGTAAGAGATGCTGATTTGCAGTGAAAAGCTACGTGTTCTTTTTCAGCATCAAATAGGAAATCGGGCTCAAACCAGGCCAGCTTAGAGTTTCTTCATTTGTGGCCGCGGTATGGTTCAAGGAACTCAGGAGCCGTCCAAGGGCGGGGATTGTGCACGGGGCCTTGGTTCTGCTCCGTGCCCGTGGCATCATCTCGGAGGGAGTACCTTACCTCTGCTACTGCTGATTACCTTTGCTTGGTTAGGAGGGTCGTGGTGAAGGTAGTATGGGAGAGTTGAAAATAAATGTCATTGTATGGGCGCCTGGGTGTCTCAGTCGTTAAGCATCTGATTTTGGTTCGGGTCATGATCTCACGGTTTGTGAGTTCGAGTCCCACCTCAGGTGAGTTCAAGCCCCGCTTCTGGTAAGCTCGTGCCCTGCTTCAGGTGAGCCCCGCTTCTCTCTCTCTTACTCCCTCTCTCTCTGCCCGTCGCTCACTTGCACCCCTTCCCCCCTTTCAAAAACAAGAAAATGTCATTGCAATGAGGAAGTGATAAATTACGGAGTCTAGTCTCCTCAATGGAGAAACTGGCTTATCTCAGGTTCACTCAGTGAGTAGAGACTCGCTCAGTGAGTAGAGAACGCTGGCTACCGACTCCTACTGTAGTTTTCTTCTCCCTGCATCCAAAGTCATGTGAGCATCATTTATAAATAAAGAAGAAGAAAGAGCATGACGGTGGTAGTGAACATCTGGAACTTGTTAGCCTGTAAGGTTACACAGAGTAAAAGTATAAACAGGTTCAAAGGGGAGTTAGACCAGGAATCGTAGGAAAGAACGCTGGGCGGGGAGCTAGAACACCTGGGTCCAATCTTCAGTTGCGAGTTAATTTGGACCTCGGTTTCTTCCGTGTATAGGGGACCCTTTCATTTCTGACTTGCTGTGCTTCTCAGATTTTAATCTCTGCAACATGTTCTCAAAGGGCTTTTGGTAATATTTAGAGGATATTTCCAATTTTGCAATAAAACAACTGCGAAAACTGTGGTCCTGTTTCCATCCGTCCATTCATTCAATCAGTAGTCTGAGCACCTCTGCCAGAGCAGGTACTCGTCCTGCCCCTCAGGGATTGCCTAAGCCAGGACTTTGCATTGGACTGGCCTTTGACCGTCTCTCTTTATTGTAGAATCACAGTGTGATGTGGGAACCAAGGTGTAGCACTTAGAAGTAATCAGGTATTTATAAACACAGAATCGTTGTGTAAACGTTAGCAGTGCTGGTGGCTGTTCTCGCTGCCACACCGGCTGGCCCCTGGGCCCGGCTGGCATCTCCCTGCCACCTGGCCATCCTCCTGCTAGACGTAGGAGCCCTTGAGAACTTGGATCAGATCCCCTGCGTTGACCCCTTCCCCAGCGGTAAAAAAAAAAAAAATAATGGGAGACGTTGAAAAGGAGTGCCCGGATATGTCAGTCTATTGCTTCCCTTGCGGTTGTGAACACGCTGTCTGTTCCCTGAAGCAGCAAGTATGGCTCGTCACCCTGCCCTGGGAGGAATTGTGAAAGGAGCTTTGTGGTGTGTGATGAGTTGAACATCACTCTCCCTGGACTGTGGTTGCAATCAGGAAGTGGCCGGGGCTGTGCTATGGAGTTAAGACAAGAGCAGCAGGCTGTGTGGTGGGGCATCACCAAAGTGGGATTGGTCCTCTGCTGTGTAGGCATCAAGGGCATTTGCCTTACGGAGAGCAGGCTGGCCCCCCACTCCTAATATAAAACCAGGCAGTGTGACTTGATTTTGAGCTCCCGCCGTACCTAACTCATGATTATTGTAGGCAGTTCATGAAATGAAGTGTATGAAAGCAATACCTAGTATGCAGTAGGTAATCAATAATTTTTCCCGGAGTGACAAACCTCCCCTAAGTATTAGGAGTAAACAAGGTGGGATGGAGAAAGGGTATGAACATCCAGACTCATTGGCTGCCCTTTAGGATTGAGGAGATGGGAGACAATGTGCTGAGACTTGGAAATTTGCAAACACTGAAGGGCATTGTGTTAAAAGTTCCTTGGTTTGGGGGCGCCTGGGTGGCTCAGTCTGTTAAGTCAGACTCTTGATTTCGGCTCAGGTCATGGTCTCAGGGTTCATAGGATCCAGCCCTGTGTTGGGCTCTGTGCTGTCAGTGGATTCTCTCTTTCTCCCTCTCTCTCAGCCTTTCCTTCATTTTCTCTCTCTCTCTCTCAAAAATAAATATAAAAAAGTAAATAAATAAAGACAGCTAAAGAAACATGCCAACTAAAGACAATGCTTAATAGTTAACTGGATTCTATTTAAAAAAAAAAAAAAAAGCTCCTTGGTTTGTAGAGCAGTATTCTTTTCATCACAGCATTCCTCTACAAAGGAAAATGAAAGAATCCCTTTCTACAACCCAGGTCGTTTCCCATCCGCGTTACCAGATTGAAGCCAACAACTCTGCAAAGGCCTGCAGCCTCCTCTCAAGGAGAAGGAGACTGAAGCTCGGAGAGGTTAAGTCATTGCTGAAGGACACTGGGCAGGTGGCAGAGCTGGGACTCACACCCAGGACATGGTCTTAGGCATCCACCCTCCTATAGAAGCCCCCACCACGGCTCAGTGTTGACACAAGGCTGGGATCCCTTACTCAAAAGCTCAGAATCCTGACATTTGCTCAGATCCTCTGACATCCTGGCCACCCTTGACCATGTCCTTGATTCTTCATCTATTTTTTTTTTTTTTTCGTATCTGGGTCCTTGTCTCTTTCTTTGTTTAAAAAAATACGTATATAATTTATATTATATATAATATTTATATTTTTTACATATCCATAATATTTATATTTTTACATATCATATGTGTTTATATATAAATATATTTAGTTGTATATTTCTGGTGGGACTTTTTTTAAAAAGGAGAAAATGACCATGTTATTAGCACTTTGCTCTTTCCTCTCCTGCGTATTTCTGTCTGTATATTTCTTAAATAGAAAACTGGGATTTTTCTAGATTATAGCCTGCGATTACGTACTGAACGTTCTCTCGAGCCATGAAATAACCTTTACAGCGTCCACTTTGATGACGGGTCTTGAGACCACCTAATTCCCCCCGTTGGCTTCCTTTCAGATCATCACTGGGGAGTTCTACCGTATCTACTACCTGAAGGAGAAGTCCCGGCCAGCGATTCAGAATCCCTATGTGGCAGCCCTCTACAAGCAGGTGGGCTGCTTCCTCTTCGGCTGTGCCATCAGCCAGTCCTTCACCGACATTGCCAAAGTCTCCATTGGGCGCCTGCGTCCTCACTTCTTGAACGTCTGCAACCCCGATTTCAGCCAGATCAACTGCTCCGAGGGCTACATCCAAAACTACAAATGCAGAGGGGACGACAGCAAAGTCCAAGAGGCCAGGTGAGTCACCACCTGCCGTGGCCACAGCGTGCCTGCTTTGACACGGGCAGCTCAGGGAGCACTTGCGAAGGCGCCTGCGACATGAGGTGCCAGGCTCAGTGCTGGGCTTTGGTTTCAGTGGGTGAATGAGGCATAGTCCCCATCCTTAAGGAACTCGGGGTCAGTTGATTTAGATGCATAGGTAAATAAGCAATTATGGTAGAATACTGGTAAGTCCACTCATTCATTCATTCATTCATTCATTCATTCTTTTGCTTATTCATTCATGGGTGCCTGCTAGGTTCTAGAAAACATGTCCCACGGACTGCCAAGGTGGCAAAACCAAACAAGACAGTGCTGGTCTCAAGGTCATGGTCTAGGGAGAGAAGACGGACAGGCAGACATGTGTCAGGGATGTGCATATGGCCCTCTCATGGCCCTCTCTTGCTCTTGCAGGAAGTCCTTCTTCTCTGGCCACGCCTCCTTCTCCATGTACACTATGCTGTATTTGGTGGTAAGTACCTTCCTTCTGATTCCAATGGAGTGTACTGTTGAGCCCCAGCTTAAATCTCTTCTGTGCAGAGAGCCCTCAGAATGGTTAGGGATAGACCCCATTGTGAAATCCTTGAAAAAGAAGTTAGCTAGAAAAGTTAAGTTCCGTTTTGAGCTCTGCCACAGCGTTAGAAGTTGTTTTCCTTTCTAGGCTTTTCCCATTTGTCAAATAAAAATAATATTGATCATGGCTGCTTGATAAGGCTTGTGTGCCCTTTTTGAAGTTATAAAGTGATAAAGACACTTGTGTAATATTTTATGGTAATGAGTACTGTCTTCTGACCATCTGTTTACTCAGTTGACCCTTCCAGGTACCCTGGTACTACTGTCTCCGTTGTGGGAAAGGATTACTAAATAAGGCTCCGAGAATTCAAGTCAACTGTCAGAATTGACAGGCACTAGAACTGTTGCTCAAATGCAAACCCTGTCATCAAATTCCTAGTGTTCACCATGCCAGGCTTCTTCCATACCCCGCTGATGGAAAGGCTTTAAAAATCATCAATATCTGACTACATAGAATGATTTCAAGTTTTTCAGAATACTTCTGCTCCATGAGCACATGTCACCTCATGACAGCATGGCGAAGTATGAAATGTGTATCCCCACTGCTTGGAGCCAGAAACTAAGACCCAGGGAGGCTAAGCGGCATGTTGGGGGGTCCCTCAGCTAGTGGTGGGGCCATGATCTGAATCTGCCCCGACTTCCTAGAGGTGCTGGGAAGGGACAGGTGAGTGCCCAGTTCTTCCCCAGCTGCTGCACAGACAGCAGCTGGTCTGTTTCTCTTTGCGAGTTAAAAAATGGTCCCCTGCCTCTCCTCTCCCCTTGAATGAGGCCCCTGTGCCAAGGCACTTCCTGCTTTCGGCCCCTTTGATGCAGAGCGAGAAGGCGCTGAGAGGTCAGACATAGCTCAGGGGAGCAAAAGCTGTTTGCAAAAGAACGTTTTGATTTTGACTTATTTAAAAAACATAATTAGGATTTGGAAAACCTAGCAGAAGGTTTTTTTTGTTTTGTTTCCCCCCTCCTCCCAAAACAATCCTTTCCAAGCCTGGAGGCCTCCCGGCTTCCCGTTACCTGGGATGCGGAGCTGAAAGGTGGGCCCCAACCTATGAAAACCTCAAACATGGATTTTGTTTATACACGAATCACACTCCCTCCATTCTTCATTTGTTGTTTTGCTTTCGCTTGGCTTTTAGAAAGCTAATGTCGCGAAGATCATTCGTTTCCTATTTCGTTCTTTTTTTTTTTTTTTTT